TTCATTAGTAAAAGTTTAGTAAATTAAAATTAATATCGAAGCATTAAAATTATAATAATTGTAAAAGTAACTATAACCTTGGTATGCAACAAACGACAAAGTACAAGGACACCGCGCCACCTCGGCTCGTGTTATCAGTCACCGCCCCCGTTGTTCCACCACACACGATCAAGGGCATTTTGTTGCTATTTAAAACTACTTTACGACTATTTATCGTTTTATTTATATACAAATTCACATTACAGTACTGTAGTATCATATCCCAAACATAAAAAAACACTAAGTTTTTAATATGAATGAATAAAAATTGCTATAAATTTTAAATATGCAAGACACAGAAAATTATATATTTTGTAAATTATAATTTTTGCGGCAGTTTGATTTTACTTATATGCAAAAAAATTGTGCATACCAAATCGTTCTCCATCAAGCAGATTGACCCAGAGTATGAGAAGGTAGGGCGTGGTGGGGGTCTGCAGCAGCGGCGGCGCCTCCAGGCAGTACAGCGCGCCGTAGTCTATGCCCGCCACTTCCCACCCTGCGCGAGCATTGCACCACCCTGTGTAAAACACTTTACTGTAGGTTTCTGAGACCAAATCCCCTTAAAGCCTATTGTTATCTCTGTTTTGTCAAAAATAATGACAGCGATGAGGATATGTATACAGAGATTTTGATCTCAGAAACCGACGGTTAGTATCATTGAAACAATCACTATTTCAATCAATTATTTATTCTCCATTTCACACTTTTTAGTAGTTCAAGGTCACTGAGTGCTGCGCAGTTCCATCTAAAATTAGTTACTTCAAATTGTGTTCTACGCAGCATGCGATGTTCTGAGCCGTCAAGATATTTGAATACCTATTATTATACCTGTTTCATTAATCTCGCTGAGTATGATATGGTCGGCGTGAATGCCGGTGTCGTTGTGCAGTGCTGTGCGCAGCTCGTCCATTGTCGCGGTGGGGGCGAGCTCCACACCGATGCGGACCTGCCGCGGCTGCTGGTTCACGTACACCACCTAATTGACAACACAAACTATAACTGCCGCACTCAAAAGCGAATGCATGATATTGATGACTCCGCGTTAACTTTAAATAAAAGTAGCAGTAGTCTGTGACTTCGTCAGCGCAGAATTGATAAAAGTAGCCCCAACACATCGTCTACATTCCAGTGAAAATTAACAAAACAGTAATTTTTCGTTACAGGTAAAGCAGTCACATAAACGAAATATATTTTTTTTAAATTTCGATATCACATACAGACACACCGATATTATTATATGTATAGATAGACATAGATATAGATTGGGGAGTAGTATATCCAGGTATACATCAATCATAGAAATATATTATCATCGTAATGTATAGTGTTGCAAAGTAAATACGACATACATTGACTGGCAGGGGCGAAGGCTGCACGGTGTTGAGACGTGTGGGCAGCTGCACACTCACGCAGTGGAACGGATCAAACGTACATGATGTGCGCTCACACTTCGCACACGTCAGCGCAGACCTTTACAAACACGGAACAAATATAATATCGTACCACCGCATTTATCGTTAGTTTCTGAGCCCAAAAATTCCGTTTAAAACATATTTTCTTCTCTGTTTTGGCAAATAATGCGAGTGAAGTTGATATTTTTTTGTAGAGGGATTTTTGTCTCAGAAATCAATAACTAGAATCGTTTAGAATTCTCGTTAATAAGAGACTGTAAATTCTAATTTAAGACATATCAAAATTGTTTTTACTGTCATTAGCATAAAGCACTTTTTAGAGATTGTAAAAACACATAATCTTATGCGGAAATATTGCTCTTAATTCATTCATTAAATTATTTATTAAGCCTCTAAAATTACTTATGTTAAGATATTTGAGCCTTGAAAAGCAGATTACAATCTAGTTTTTATACGCAATTTACGTTTTTATATGAATTAAAATAGACTAAAGATTTTGCACAAAAACTATATTATTTAAACACATAGACTATAAATGTATAATCATACCTAAAATATGCCTAACATTGAATATTTGCAACTTATATTATAATATTATATAAGACATAGTTATACTGGATGTGTTATTTCCTTAACTCACCTGTACTGAGCTTGAAAAACTGCCTGTACAAAGGAACTGTTCCTTCTAGCATGGTTTGCCAGTGTCTCAGCCGCCACCACCTCGTCTGACTTACCACCTGTATTCTAAAAATTGTGCGTGTTTTTAATTTATATCAATTTATAGTTCTTAAGAATATTTTAGGACATATCCAATTAATTTTTTTGGGTAGTGCCTATATTATAATATTTTTATATAAAACAAACCTTGTAAAAGATCTTTAAAAGCACATGACATAATATAGATGTGAGTTATCAACATTTAAAAATAATAACATAGCTGTCGCCCAGGACTCCATCCATGCTAAATTAAAAAAAAATATATTAGTAGCCTATATGGTCTTCCAAACTATGTTCTACATTTATGCAAAATTTTAACAAGAACTATTCATCCGTTCTAGAGATTCCTTCTAACAAACATCCATACATTCATCCATCCATGTATTCAAACATTCACATTTACAATATAAGATAAGGAGTAAGATACAACATAAAAAGCTAGTCTATAATTGAATGATTTATATTATGTATTTTCATATCAAAGTTTTAATAAATTTGCAGTTTTAACTAGTTATTGGTGGATTGCACATAAATACACATATGTAAGGCTTCCAAGTGAAATAATCTCCTAAGATGCAAATTTAAAACTTGCAGTGGCTTCTTGTAGTGATTAAAAAAATTATAATAATTACTAGCTGTCCCAGCGACTCTGTCTGTGCGGAAATAAAAAACTTAACAAATAACCTATGTGTTCTTCCAGACTATATTCTACATGTATGCAAAACTTCAGGTAGATATATGCAGTCGTTCTGGAGATATCTTCTAACATACATCCATCCATCTAAACATTCATAATATTAGTAAGATAGTAGCTCGCAGTGAGATTTGCTACAAGGTAAAAATATTGCAAATAAATTTCATAATACAATAAACATGTCTCAACTTTAACAAAAGATATGGCATTATTTTATTTAATCATTATGTAAACATTCAAACCTTGATAGTTTTATACTTTTTCTTAGTGGCTGTATTCAAATCTTCATGAACTTTATCAAGCAGCCAAAAGAGAAACTCCTGTGCGTCATGCTGACTGTTGCCACGGTATTGAGAGCCATGCCTCTCAACTGCACCCTGATAACAAGGTTATCATTTCTTAATAATATAAAGAATACATTGTATAGCAATTAATCAGTATGTGTTCACTTCTAAAGCAAAAAAACATAGCCATCCCTTATCAAAACGAGTTTTTAGTTTTAACCATGTTGTAAATTTAATGAATATTTTATTTATAAAATGTTATGCATTAAATTTTTAATACAATAAGATTACAATCTATTCAAACCATGACAGTGATAATGTTATGTAAAGTCTCATGAAAACTCTTATCTTTATATAATATCAATGTGTGTGAAAGATTAGTTTTTGCAGCTGAAAGTTAATGACATAACAAGAAATTTGTATGAGCAACTGTTTGTATGAAAAAAAAAATAAGAAATGGATAACCTTATTTTTTGTAAATAACTAAAAAAATGTATTACCTTGAATGCAATGCTCATATCAGGAGAATATCTACATGACCATAATGCTTTCAGGAGCGCAGCTAATTGTTCCGTAACTTCACCACGAGTTCCATATTTTTTTGAATTTATCTTATTTCTCTTCTGTAAATCCACCTAGGAAATAATGGATAATGGATTTATTCTATTCAAATATACAACTGACCTTTAATTCCTTTTTTTCAGAAATTATTAATAAAACATATTAACATTATTAAGCCTAACATTAAGCATTAACTAAGCTCTATCTTTAATTGAAAAGATTATTAAAATGTTCATGTACATACTTTGATCAATGTCTACATAACATTTTCTAATTGAATCAATATTTATGTCTGGTTTAATATATAATTTACCTTATAATGGTCTAGTACAAAGTATTCAGCTATAACATCAGTATGTGAAAGGCACTGAAGGACTGCATTCATATAACAAGTGTTCCCGTGGTTTTTGATCCCAGTGGCTGCCGGAGTCGCACCCGGGGGCCATGGCGGGTCCCCGCTGCAGGGCACTCGCTCATTAGTTGTTATCGTGGGGACTGTTTTAACCTTGAGCATGAAATACAAATATAATGACGCAACATATAATTTAGCACGCAATTTATAAGATCAAATACACTTACTCCTGATACGTTCACAGTGCTCATGTGCTGAGCTATTTTATTCAAGAATATCTTCCATGATGGCCTTCTAAATAACTTCCTTTCAACGATACCTTCATCTTTTTGATTTGTCCCGATAATTGTGCCTGTTGTGGACTTATTATCGCTTTCGTTGCTTTTATTTCTACTCGAACTAGGTTTTGTTGTACCGAAGGGATTCCGAGGTAAAGTAAAAGTACGTTTTAGTCGGGATCCTTCCACCTGTTTTGGTGTCATGCCAGTCTCTGCAACCTCGTTTATCAACTCACCCTCAGAGCAAGACTTCAAAACTGATGAAAGATTATTGGTCGACATGATGACAAACCAAGCAGTTTTATTTAATTCTAATGTATTTCAAACATTGTACTGAAAACCAATTGGAAAATATTGATATACAAATGACAGAAGCGCCATTTTGTTTGTTATCTCTGACAGAAGGGAAACGTTCAGGGTTCTAGAGATTTATACTGCAAAATCAAGAACAGCTTCTCTTCAGTTTTTACTTGTAAACACTTAGAGTCATAATCAGTGATAATAATTTTAGGTATGTATGATCTCATTGATTTTCGCGTATATGACGCTGCATATTACTATTTTTGTTTTTTGTTAAAATGTTAATTTGTTTCTTGTAAATTAATCCAAAGAGTATATAAAATATACATTTTATATACTTTTTGAATTAATCTGTGGTGAGGTGTCAAATGTCATTGTCAAATATAACGTCCCCTAATTTTTACATCAACCAATATAAAATAATCTTTTCGAAAATCTTCAATAAATATACAAAATGGTAAAAGGGGATCCTCCGCAAGATGATAATTTGTTTAGGAGTATTACTAGGAGCTTATACGCCACTGTAGATACCCCAGTTACGTGGTTTAGAGGTTCGATAAAATATTTTTGTTTTTGTGTGTTATGTAAGTCATATTGTTATGTTATAAAATTGTAATTATATTGCAGAAAAGATTGTTGAACCAAATCAGAAAAAATATCCTTGGTATCATCGGCAGTTCAGGCGTGTGCCTACAATTGATCAATGCTACGAAGATGACCCTGTTTGTGACTTTGAAGCAAACGCGCAGTTCAAACGAGACAGGTTATGTTATGTTTTTGTGATAAATTAATTAACTTTCAACATATAAGTAAAAGTATTAAGTTGCAATTAAAGTCAGTTCTTTAAAAAAGAAATATAATTACCCTTTCAGAGCTGTTGATTCAGAAATCCTCAGTATTCTTCGAATGCGCTATGAAGACTGCATGATGTATGAACAACCAGACCACCTTACTGTTTGCAAACCATTCTGGGAGAGATATAAGAATGCTGAGGAAGCATGGTTCATAAAATGTAAGTTCACATTTTTCATAAATTCCTTCCTGTCAAATTACATGTTATGGTTAGAGGTGTATTATTTAACAAAATGTTATTTATAGATGGCGACCTTGGTGCATATGCTGATGCCAGAAAAGCTTTTATGAAACAAAAGCATCGCATGGTTTGGGAAAGACGCAATGGTCCTCTCTCTGACCAAACTAAGTAATGTTCTATAAAGCTACAAAGTAAACTGAAGTATGATGTAGTTGAAAATAATATAAATTTTAGCATCTAATATTGTTTTTTTTTTATGAAATGAAACACCTAATTCAAAAAATAACATTTATTTCCAACACTACATTTATATTCATGCATTTTGACAAAATTCTACTTTTGGATGTACATTGATTTATAAGTTGGAACTACAACAAGAAATTAACAATCACAGAATTACTAAGATGGATAAAACACGCACAAGTCTCTCATTTACTGCTCTTGGAATTACTTACAACTATCTTAATATTAGAAATTTAAAACTTTTATTGGTCACAAAAGTAAAAAACAATACTTAAATTACTTAAAATATACCTCCAACAAGTCTTAAGAAATTCAATCAGATATTTTTGGAATTATTATTAAAGATAAATGCCACATTAAAACTTTTTAGATGGCAACACTAAAGCGACTTAGTTTTTTGTCATTGTTTATTACATATCAAAGATAAAATAAGTAATAAATAGGACAAGACATAATTGTATTTCTTAAGACAAAGCTAAATTCTCAATAGATTGGACAGAAGGTGGACACAAGTGTAGTTACATTTATGTTTTTTAATAATTGTTATGATTTATTCCCCACTCGAAAAGCAATCTAACCCATATAATCTTTAAGGAACTTTTCCTTCAACATATGTATGGGGCAGTCTTTAAGATGCAGTGGTTAATAAATCATTTAATATTGCTGAGTTGGCAGTGTTTGGATCACACATTGGTGTGGCCATTCAATCGAAACACTTAAACTCAATGAATATGCAAGAGCCGGCTTACATTAATCAACAAACTTGATCTTACATAAAAATATCGTAAATCCATGTTGACATCAGCTAAAACACATTTCGTAAGCATCTGATTCTTATAAACATTCAAATAATTCATAAATGGATTTCACTCTTTTAATGTACTCTACTTAATGTACCAAATTATACAACATTTTATGTATATTTACATAAATTGGCGATATAATGGAAAAATTTGTGGCGTTCTTGGTACTTAATATATCACAGGTGTAATAACAATTTGATGTTTGATAATATTCAATGTATTGTATATTTATTTACAAAAAATACAATTATATAAAAATAAGGTATTATTTAATAGTTATTATTTGCGCAATTATTTTATAGCCAATATTATTTTACTTATTATTGCAAACTAAATTAATTGTGACCGATATTTTCCTATAGAAAGGGACACACTTTCACTAGGACAACAACTGGCTACATTAACCACTATCTTAAAGAGAACATGAAATGTTTGATTTTGATTATTACTTTTAAGATTGCGCACATCCCTGATTCCAATAGATACACTAAAATACTATTCTTTATTCTCAATAAAATATGTCTATTTATAAACTAACGAAAGAGCGGCTACCCTATAAATACACTACACGAGCACTCAACTACATGACATATAATTTTCGACTAACACTTAACACAAACGACTTTTTGTCTTTATTTATATCGATTAAATGATGAAAACACAGTCGGAAGTCTTTCTAAAACAAATGTGAGACATACCGACTGACGATAATCTAAGTGAACATATACAAACACACACAGTCTCTCAACACCTCATATCAACATGGATGACGATATTTTTCGATGTCGAACATTACAACCATTGCACTTTAGGCGGCAAACTCTTGAACTTATAACAAAATAACTTAATACTATTATTATTGTATATATATATTAAAAAAAATCTTTGAACATCTATAATTGACTCTTGAGTTGTATTGAATTGAATGTAAATTGCACTGTACAAAATTTTACATTTTGTACATAAATTGCTATACAAATATAAGCAACTTCATTGACAAATATCTATATTATGTAAATCCTGTAACTAATATTATCAGTTCAGACTTACATATGTATTGACTTTGTACATTGCAATTTACTACCTTACCGAGTTCTATAACATTGGCTTCGTATTTTCTGCACGTTACTTGAAGTGGACGACATTTTAGAAACACATTTACATTCAAGTTTCCCTTACAAATAAATTGCTATAAACATTTAAAGAATGTAAACGTTATCTAAAAGTACGTAAATTCGACTGATACTTATTTGCACACGTTTGAAGAATTAATATTAAATGCACATACAACCACACTAGAGTTATTCACAACTAAACATATGTTAAGGCCGAATCGAAATAAACGTAATATAGAATCAATTGAGATCATATATCAAAGGATAAAATTCTTTCCACAAAAATCAACATTTTCATATGATTATTGTACTTTATATGGACATTCGAAAAATGTTATAAGCGCTCTGATATCACATAACACATCCCAACAGCCACGGACATCGTCCTGACCCATCACTTACAAATGATATGTAATGTGTAAATGCTAATACATATAAACATATATACAATTCACTGTACTCATTATGATGTTATCTAACCAGTCAAATAGCTTACATACATAAAATAATTATATACTGGAACTTTCTAAACTATTATGTTGGTATCTTACGGTATATTTGTTTCAGTCACTGTGGTATACAATAATTAAAGCCTTAAAAATATAAATATTCGTCAAAAGGTAAAAAACAAAGTGATTATGTAACTAAAATTCATCACATACAGTGTCATAAATAATATACAAATTATAGTAACCAAAAAATAATAATATAAATATATACAAAACTAATAGTATACGGAGACTGTCCATTTTAGCCTGAGATATGCGAATTAAATTATTTTAAATAAATTGTTACGTTTAAATTTTTAACATTCAACTAGATAAAATTTCATAAGATTTTTTTAACTCTATATTCAAAAATTTGTACTTGGCCAAAAATTTATCTACTAATTTTAACAATTTTAAACATTTTTTTTAAAGTTTTATATTTCAATAGTAGAAATCTTTTTTATATTTGAAGGTCGAAAAAGGGTGCTACATATGCAGGAAGACTTATTTACATAGAACCTCACGCTAAACTGAACAGAATGAACTCTGCAGACACTATAAATAATATTATAAAGTAATCAATTTTTGAACATAGGAACGACAAATGATCGTACAGAGAGAAATATCTTTATAATAAATACTTTCCCGACTAATTGCCATTCATAAAGCTTGTATAACTCGAATTCTAATTTGTATGCAGCACTTGATAACATTTTACGAACGCAAATATTTCTCTTAACCTAAATAAACGCACAAAAATATACACGATCTAAAACATTATTGTTATAGACATCACATTTCTTAGGACACTTGGTATTTGTCTTGTTGATAAAATTCGTTGCAAACCTTGGATACATTCTATTAGCTCATTTAGAGGATATCCGACGCACGTGCTTTTTTACTTATACATCTTGTTGTAGAGGAATGCATTTTTAATATATTTGGAATGATATTATGCTGCATCGAACTGCGCAGCCAGCCGTGTGCGACCTGTAAACGTAATTTATATATTAACATAAATCAACAAAAGTTTCAATTCTAATATCGCGCTAAATGCGTAATAAATGTAGCAAACATAAGTTATCTTATAAGTATTTTCCTTTATATTCATTACGTGTAAATAATTATTGTTTAAGTGCTATCTCACGTTTTTCTTGGCTGAGCAATGCTGTAGGATTGGGCAAAGCGCTGGCTGGTGGGGAACACCAGATATTGGTCTTTGGCGATTCGAACACGCGAGATCCCTGAAACAATCAAAAGGGTAATGTGAGAAATCTATAGGCATGTTTATGGAAGATAGAGAGTTATGATAGGAGAGGAGCAATGTACTTTTTGTCCGGGCGGCGTGTCGTGCACGGAGTAGTCCTCGTGCCGCGCGGGGCGGAGCGGAGGGGGCAGCGCCACGCCCGCCGCCAGCGTCCACAACGCCTCCGCCGCGCTCGCAGACTGCACGCGCGCAAACACCGGCCCACACTGCTGCAGCACCTCCGACACCTGCGCCTGCACCTGCTTCACACCTACACAACAAATTAATATTACATGAATAAAAATATTTCGAGCACATATTCATTAGAAAGATAAACATTTAGCAAAATACATTCTAATAATTACAAATTTCCTTACCCAAGTCAGATGTTAGCGGTGAGGGCTCGTAGCGTTTCATGTATCGATTTAGTACATCTTGGGTGGGCATGGGAGCCGGCTGGTCGGCGAGTATCTGCGCCACGCGCCACACGGTGCGCCACGCGGCCGTCAGCTTCACGTATCGCTCCGAGGTCTCGACGACGCCGTACGCCTCTAGCTCCTTGAGATCGGGCTCGGCGCCGCGCAGCCGGCGGAACGCGCTCACGAAGTACTCGACGCTGGAGCCGCGCGCCACGCTCATGTCAGCGGAGAGCACGGCGCACGCGGTGAGCGCGCAGTTCGGCAGCCGTGCCGTGTCTCCCACCGTGATGTACGCCATGCCACGCTCGATGTAACCCCCTGCGGCCAGCACCAGCTCCTGCAGCGTGCTCACGTCGAGCACATCGGGCGCGGGCGGTGCGCCGAATCTTGCTGCGTAAAGTGCCGGCAGCTCGGAGAAGGGTGCGGGCAGCAGCGCCGCGAACCTCTGCGCCATGATGCCGCGCGCCGCTCCCGCCGCTAGCCGGACCATCTTCTCGCCGTTGGGCTCACACCACACGACGACGGTGTCAGCTATCATGTCAAGGAGCTCCGCGAGCTTAACGCAGCCGTAGTGGGCGACGCGCAGCTGCCGGCCGTAGTGTGCGTGGTAGGCGGGCACGAACCGCGTGAACTCCATGCGTAGGTTTGGCGTGTAACAGAGCAGTTCGGCAGCTTCGAGCGCAAACTGTGAGGAGTGTGCGCGCTCGGCGGGTGTGGGCGCACGTCGAGGCAGCGCCACGCTCCCGTCGGACAGCGCGACAGCAGCACCCGGTGCCGTGCGCTGCAGCAACTCGCCGACCGTGCACACGCCGTAGTCGACGGGCGAGAACTGCCGGCCGAACGTGTTGTGGTACAGCTGCGGGATCTCATGCGGGAAGATCGAGCGCACCGGGTTAGCCTTCAGCATCTTCACGAGGTCGGAGGTCCAGCGACGACTCTGCGCCGCGGCCGACAACGTAATCTCACGATAAGACCCCGTGCCCAGCACCTGGTAAACATTTCTATGCGTATTTAAAAATGACAAATTTTGTTAATGAGTACTTAAGTTTTGGGTGTGCTAGAAAAAAATATAAAGTTGTGAAGGACTCTGTACAGAAACCAATACAAACCACAATGGTGTTGCTGAGGGAGGCGAGGAGTTCCGGGAGCTTTGTGAAGCCGTAATCTGCGACGCGACATTGGCGACCGAAGTGATGGTGGTAAGACGGGATCAACCTGGCGACATTCGTTTACATATTAAAAATTTTATACTCAAATAAAACTGGATATAACAAGATAATTTCGTGTACCCTAAATACAACTTGTAAACACACAATTTACCTTGAATTTTGTAAAAAGTAGATTTTTTATTTTTTCACTTTTGGTACTCATAGCAAAAAATATAGTTACAAATAATAGATGTATGACTAACTTGCTGAAGGGGATAGTGCAGCGTGGCGCAGTGCGCAGCAGATCGACGAGGTCGCGCTCAAACAGGGAGAGTGTGGGCTCGAGCGCAGGTGCCGTGCGCGCCCCGCTCCGCTCCCCCAAGCTGCCCACACTGCCTCGAGACGTGTCACCTGCTTACCAAGTATTACATTACATTCATAACCACCCAGTTACATATCCATGTACCATCGTGTTTCTACCCAAAAATTAAGAAAATAAGTGTTTAAGTCAATTCAACTTATGAGTGTGCACTTACTTCTGTTGCAGACAGATGGCGGTGTGTCGGCGCGCGAGGTGGCAGTGGCCCAGGCTAGGTGGCGGGAAGGTGTCTCCTTAAGCTCGACGCCGGGCACGCTCAGCAGCAGCAGTTCCAGGGCCACGCCCGCGCGCGGCTCGCATACCAGCGCCGGGAACATCGCCTCATAGCACTCCACCAAACTTTACATCGGAATGAACAAAATAGATCAGAATTCACGCCAGTGTATACACATAAATATTCATTGCCAATTACAATTTGCACGATCTGTACTCTTTATGTCAGTTTCAGATAATCACTATCAAACAAATTACCTCAACAAGGGCAGTATGCCGCCGTGGCTCTCGAGCAGAATGTGTATGTTTCTCGCGAGCACTGGCAGCTCTATGAACACGGGCTGCAGTATCCTTCGGCCGTCGTCGTGCCCGGTGCTCAGCACCGAGTGCTTGTGGCACTTCCAGGGCGCCTCCTCGATCTCCAGCTTGGACACCGGCGACAGATCGATGAGCTGGACCATGCGGCCGCACGTCTCGTGCACTAGCACTGTATCCCTCACTTTGAGTATGTCGGATGTGGTGATGGAGCAGCAATGTCGGCTGGCGTAGGCGTCGCGCAGGCGCAGCAACGGCATACAGTAGTTCTGCTGCTCGAGCAGGATGGCGCGCAGGCGGGCGCGCAGCACATCGAGGTTGGGCGCAGGGGAGGGCGTGCCGAGGGCGAGCTCGAGGCGGCGGCCCGCCCACACGCTGTCGAGACGGCGCTTGTGCACGCGCGCTATAGCCAGCCGCGCGTCCCACTCCGAGCGGAACACGACTGAGGCGAGCGGCCCCTCTCCAGACGTCCACACCGACACGCGCACCACCGGCACGTACTGACTGAACAGCTTCCTCAGCGCCTCCTGACATGAATATTATTAACTTAACACGGTAAACAACCGTATACTGTCATAATGCATATGTGCTTGTGTGTATGTCTATTATACCTGTAGCATATTGGGTTCGTAGGGCGGCAGGTTGGATACAGTAAGTTCCGCGGTGTCAGGCTCGGGGTCACTGTGCTCGCTCACACTGGACGAGTTCCAGGGCGAGGGAGCCCGCGCTCGACTCTCATCGCCACTGTTGCTAGATGAACAACCTGACCGGTCCAGGCTAATAGAACCTGAAAGTGACGTTGATTTTAGTATACTTTGACTACTTACTATATCATGGCACACAACACGTAAAAGGGAATTAGAGCCTTTGTTATTGTAAATTCGGCCTCATCCGCACCTCATGGTTATATCGGATTACATAGATACTGTTTGGTATGAAACCATCAGCATCAAATACACTCATTAAAATACCTTACTGCAATAAGAAACTTAAATAAAAATATTTCGACGACGAATAATCTAAAACATATTCTCATTACAATGTGAACAACCTTTAAGAAACATAAAATATGAACCAAACCACATGAGACAATTCTTCGAATGTATCCAGTTAGCAAAACAAACGCGAGCAAATGCAATGCAAGCATTTGCTGAACATAAACATTACGAAAGCAATGTTAATATGCACTGCTAATAAATGCACAACAATTATGATGGTACATTTAGCAACTAAATAATCAGAACATGATCATAACTGGAACACCCGTAGCCATTCAATTTGCTTATACTTATGAATTACATTATGTTTAAATAATTAGACAATACGTTTTCCCTGAGGTTAATAAACTTCGTTCTGTTACGCAAAATAAGCTTGTCTTTTACTTTAAAAATGTTTGTCTTTGTTTGTATATGTATACAATGTGGTTAATAAAGAGTAGTATAGTACCATGAGTGCCTCTAATCTTCCTGGGCTTGGGCGCGGGCGCGGGCGGCGGGCAGAAGTCGAGCGGCGGCGGTGTGGGCGCCGGCAGCTGCTGCAGCGCCAATGCCCAGTCGCCGCACGCCGCGCGGGCGCCTTCCGCTCCTATACACACCTGAAACATACCCCGACATTAGTACACCATCACCTAGAAAGTATTTGGCACCATTGTGGCTTTTGGACAAACATATTTTTGCTTTTTATCTGCTTTTAATCTTTAAGCTGCGAAATAATTTTAATTTTTTTTTTATTTCGGTAGTATGAAATTCTTTTCGTTAGGATCTCGCTCTTTTATTTTGACTGTCACAAATGAAAGAAATTTAAAGACGAAAGTGTGTAATAAAACAATAAGCTAAATTTGAATATAATAGCGCGATAACTTGGTATAAAAGTGTTAGTTACTTGGTGCACATCATGTGGGTGAGGGGGCGGTGGTGGGGGCGGTATGGGTGTGTGCTGCGGCAGCGCGGAGGGCGCGAGGGGCGCGGGCGGGGCGGTGCTGTAGCCCTCGTCGCTGGAGTATGTGGCCTGCAGAGCGCCGCGAGCGAACCGCGTGCTTATCTTGCGCCCGAACACGTCCTCGCCTTCCATACGCTTCAACGCCCTAACATAACAAATTTTGTATTATATATTTTGGTTTTTCAAACATCTTGGCTGCTCGGAACATCGCACGAGTCGCTGCATAAAACAATTTTACGTGTAGGAATGCAAAGGAAGGCGCACAGCGAAACTCGAAGCTGACCTTAAGTCACCATAAAATTTTTAACGCTAAATAACATGTCCTTAAAATCTTCGGTCTGTCATTGCCATGTCAAATCAACGTCTTTTTTAACATATTTAGGCTTAACATCTTAAATTATTGTAATACTTCTAATATAAAAAAAACTTTAATGTTAGAAGGTATAACATTCTTTCAAGAAATTTATTACAAGATAAATATATCAATTTCCAATTAAATATGACACAATAAAACAATGTACATATATTACTAGTTACTCAACTAATTGGTAATTATAAAATGGTAATAACATTTTATTACTACTTTTATACTTCATTCTATGAGCCAATGAATTGGCAACTACGTAAAAACCGTGAGTTGTAAATAAGATTGGAAATCTTTCCATATACTGAAATGATATGTAGCATTATTGAAAAAAATGTTCTTTTATTCTGTCTTCTAAGTTGAAAATATATAATCCTCTGTGTTTGAACTCTTTAACACCTAGGCTTTAAGTAAAAGGCAACACTTCAAATTGAATTTATATGGGTTTAACGAAATAACTTTATAGAGAACTACCTTTTGCCCGCGACTTCATCTGCACGAAATTAAAAGAGTTTTAGTATTACAAAGCCTCACTCAATGATAATGTAGCTTTCTCAATTTTAAAAGGAATTTTGTCACCGGTTAAATAGTTTTTGAGATTACTCGTTAGAGAGAAAAAATACAAATCTTGCCTCTTTACAACATTTGTATAAATCAGGAAAAAAAATTATGAGTTATCTACAATTATTTATCATCTCTCTGCCTATCCCTAGATTGTTATAGGGCGTAAAGGAGGTATACTATGTTTGTTAGCCTGCTTATTTAACGATATAGACTTTGTTTCATTGTTGTGCAGTGTACATAAGAGTCCATATACAGTCAGCGTCATAAAGATCGTAACAGACAAGATATGCAAATATATAGGTACATCAAAAGTAATCAATTATATCGGTACAACAAAAGTCCTCAAAATAATAGATACATTCACCCTGCTCAAATACATCGGTACATACACAGCGTCAAATATATGAGTACATGCAAGATGCTCATAAATATCGTAGCAGCCACAGCGTCATAAGTAACGAAGCAGTCAAGGTGCGCAAAAATATCGGTACATTTGACAAAATTGAACTCTATCTCAATATAGTTGTGATACAATTTGGAATAAACTACTTCTGTTACATTCATTTGACACTTTGCATCAAACCATTTTTCAAAATTTACTAAAAGTGTTCGACGCGGATGACAGATATTAGGTAGATAAAACCA